CCCATGTGCCTTTTATCCCATTTCTTCCTTTGGTTTCATTTTATATAATTTCAGTAAAATACCAAAACAAGGCTTTTACATTGGTACAATGGGTGTACACACTACTTTTATCTGTGTTATTGCATGCAGGTTTAATGTAACCACTAGAGCAATGAAGATACAGAATTATTTCATCACCACAAAAGTCTCCCTTGAGTTAGTTACCTCTTTATAGTCAGACGTTACCCACTCTCCTCACCATCCATTATCCCTGGCAACTATTCATCTGATGTCCCTCTCTGGGATTTTGATGGCAATTATCTTAACTCTGTGTATCAATTTGAGGAGGAATGACATTTTTACTATATTGAGTCTCACGATCCATGAACACGGACTATCTCTCCGTTTAAAAAATACTGTTTAGCTGGGCTCGGTGGCTCAGCCTGTAATCCCGTGCCTTTGGGAGGCTGAGGTGAGTGGATTGCCTGAGCCCGCGGGTTCGAGACCCCCCTGGGCAGGCGAGACCTCAACCCTACAATAACTCAAAAAATTAGCCGGGCGTGGTAGCGCGCGCCTGTAATTCTGGCTACTTGAAAAGCTGAGGAGGAAGGATCGCCGGAGCCCAGCAGGTCGAGGCTGCGGTGGCCAGGAGCGGCCACTGCACTCCAGTCTGGCGACAGAGTGAGACTCCAACTCAAAAAAAAAATACTGTTTGATTTTCTTCATCAGTATGTTCTAATTTTCAGCTTACAATCCTTGTACATCCTTTGTCAAATTTACACAGAGGTTTTTAATTTATTTTAGTTTCCATGCTTTCATTGCTAATATTGAATATACAATTAATTTTGGTCTACTGATCATGTATCTTGCAATCATGCTGAATTCACTATTATTATGTAGGTATTAATAGATTGAAGCCCTGTTGTTATGATGATAATACTACCCAAATAATTCTATAATTGTAAGGCACTACCTATCAAAATTCTAACAATCTTTATGCAGAAATTTAAAAGTCATTACTCAAATTCATATGTAATTGCAATGGCTCCAAATAGACAAAACAATCTTGAAAAATAATGAACATAATGGAAGCCATCACTTTCTCACTTCAAAACTTATTACCAATATAGTAATGGAATAGAATTGAAAGTCCTTAAAGAAACCCATATTTCTAAGGTCACATGATTTTCAAGAAGGATCCAAAATTAGTTAATGGAGAAAAAATAGTCTCTTCAGCAAATAATGCTGGGAAGACTGTATATCCGTGTGTAACATAATGAAATTAGGTTCTTACTATACATTTCAGAGGTACAAGTGACGCTTAATGTCATTAGGAAAATGCAAATCAAACCAACAACATAGATATCACTTTACAATCTTAGCTGAGTGGATTGCCTGAGCCCACAGGTTCGAGACCCGCCTGGGCAGCGAGACCTCATCTCTACAATAAATCAAAAAATCAGCTGGGCGCGGTAGCGCATGCCTGTAATTCCGGCTACTCGGAAGGCTGAGGCGGAAGGATCGCCGGAGCCCAGCAGGTTGAGGCTGCGGTGGCTGGGAGTGGCCACGGCACTCCAGTCTGGGCAACAGAGTGAGACTCCAACTCAAAAAACAAATAAATAAATAAATAAATAAATAAATAAATAAATAAATAAATAAAAGCTGGGCACGGTGGCTTACACCTATAATTCCAGCACTTTGGAAGGCAGAGGAGAGAGGATTGCCTGAGTCCAGGGGTTTGAGACAAGTCTGGGCATTTTGGTGAGAACTGATCTCTACAATAAATAAAAAAAATTAGCTGGGCGTGGTGGGGCATGCCTGTAGGTCCAGCTACTTGGAAGACTGAGGCAGAAGGATCGCCGGAGCCCAGCGGGTTGATGCTGGGGTGGCCGTGAGAGTGGCACTGTACTCCAGCCTGGGCAACAGAGTGAGACTCTGACTCAAAAAAAAAAAAAAGTTGTCAGCACATGCTGCAGTTATTAGTAAGTTACCGAGTTAGCGTCACTTGCACCAGTGACATCTCCAAGGGCTTTGGCAAAAGCCTCAGTTCCTGGCCACAGAGACCTCTCCATGGTGCTGCTTGAGTGTCCTTACAACCTGGCTGCTGGATTTCCCCAGAGCAAGACAGAAATTGTCTGGTCTGCTGGACTCAGGGGCTCACGCCTGTCATCCCAGCACTTTGGGAGATGGAGGCGAGAGCATTGCCTGAGCCCACGGGTTCAAGACGAGCTTGGGCAACATCATGAGATCTCATTTCTACAGTTAAAAATAAAAATTAGCCAAGGGTGGGGGCGCAACCTTCAGCTACTTGGAAGGTTGGGGTGGAAGGATCGCCTGAGCCCAGCAGATCAATGCTGCGGTGGCCGTGAGCATGCCACTGCATTCCAGTCTGGGCGACAGTGAGAGTGCGACTCAAGTAAGTAAGTAAACAAACAAACGGAAACTAGCTGGGAGTGGTGGCACACACCTGTAGTTCCAGCTACTTAAGAGGCTGAGGCAGGGAGATCATTTGAGCCCAGGAGTTCTGGGCTGTGTGTACACCCATCAGTTGTTGACAACAATATGGTGGCCTCTCGGGAATGGGGGATAACCAGGCTGCCCAAGGAAGAGTGAGTTGACCCCTGTCAGAAACAAGGCTCCTTAAAACTCCCATGGTGGGCCGGGTGTGGTGGCTCAAGCCTGTAATCCCAACACTTTGGGAAGCCGAGGTGAGAGGACTGCCTGAGCTCACGGGTTGGAAAACAGCCTGGGAAACTTGGCAAGACCTCATCTCTACAATAAAAAAATAAAAATAGCCGGGCTCAGTGGCTCAGCCTGTAATCCCGCACCTTTGGGAGGCTGAGGTGAGTGGATTGCCTGAGCCAGCGGGTTTGAGACCCGCCTGGGCAACTTGGCGAGACCGCATCTCTACAATAAATAAAAAAATTAGCCGGGCATGGTAGCGCGCACCTGTAGTTCCAGCTACTTGGAAGGCTGAGGCGGAAGGATGGTTGGAGCCCATCAGGTCGAGGCTGCGGTGGCCGGGAGCGGCCACTGCACTCCAGTCTGGGCGACAGAGTGAGACTCCAATTCAAAAATAATAAAAATTAAAAAAAATAAAAATAAAAAAGACCGGGCTTGGTGGCTCAACCTGTAATCCCAGCACTTTGGGAGGCTGAGGCGAGTGGATAGCCTGAGCCTGTGGGTTCAAGACCAGCCCGGGCAACTTGGCGAGACCTCATCTCTACAATAAATCAAAATTAGCCGGGCGTCATAGGCGCGCCTGTAGTTCCAGCCACTTGGAAGGCTGAGGTGGAAGGATTGCCGGAGCCCAGCAGGACGAGGCTGCGGTGGCCGGGAGCGTGCCACTGCACTCCAGTCTGGGCCACAGAGTGAGACTCCAATTAAACCTCCCCCAAAACAAAAAACAAAACAAACAAACAAAAACTCCATGGTGACCAATAGTGTGATGGCGCCTGTGTATAGTCACTGCACTCCAGCCTGGGCAACATGGGCTGAGGGTAGGGAAGGAAGGGTGGTGAGAGAGGGAGGGAAGGAGAGAGAGAGAGCGCGAGACTGAGAGAGAGAGAAAGTATTGGAAAGGATTGAGGAGAAATTAGAAACCCTTACACCTGAAGGTGGGAACATAAGATAGGGCAGTTGCTGCTGAAAACGGTTTTGTGGTCCCTAAGGCAGAATTACCATATGAATCACTAATATCATATCATATCTCAAAAAAAAAGAAAGGAAATTGGGTGAAAGATTTGGGCAATTTACCAAAAAAAGAAAGAAAGAAAGAAAAACGGCAACCGAAAATATGCAAAGATGTTTCATTTTGTTTACAAAACAAGAAACATAAATTAAAACTACATGTGGATACTATTTATTTTTTGTTTGTTTGTTTTTGAGTTGGAGTCTCACTCTGTCACCCAAGCTGGAGTGCTGTGGCCTGCTCACGGCCATCCCAGCATCAACCTGCTGGGCTCCTGCGATCCTTCCGCCTCAGCCTTCCAAGTAGCGGGAACTACAGGCGTGCGCCACCACACCCGGCTAATTTTTTGATTTATTGTAGAGATGAGATCTTGCCAAGTTGCCTAGGCTGGTCTCTAACCCCTGAGCTCAGGCAATCCTCTCGCCTCGCCTCCCAAAGTGCTGGGATTACAGGCTTGAGCTACCGCGCCCAGCTTGTTGGTAGCTTTCTTAACATTGTAGTGACTATGCAAATGCACTTTCCTAATCTCCTGCTATAGAGAATACAATTGATTGATTCAAAGGCCCCAGTTGCTGTGGTTGAACTTATTTTCATATGTGTATGAATTGTGCTTCTTTTGTGAAATGTCCTTTTTAAGGGTTTTGTTTTGTTTTGTTGTTTGTTTTTGAGTTGGAGCCTCACTCTGTCGCCCAGGCTGGAGTGCAATGGCATGGCCACTGCAGCCTCGACCTGCTGGGCTCACGCGATCCTTCCGCCTCAGCCTTCCAAGTAGCCGGAACTACAGGCGGCGCTACACGCCCAGCTATTTTTTTTTTTTTTTCTGAGTTATTGTAGAGATGAGGTCTCGCCAAGTCGCCCATGCTCTTCTTGAACCCACGGGCTCCGGCAATCCCCTCACCTCGACCTCCCAAAGTGCTGGGATTACAGGCTTGAGCCACCGCGCCCGGCCGTGGATACTGTTTCTTACCATTAGATTGGCAAAACTTAATTCCTCGAAGATTGTGTCTTCCCGCTTGCTCCCTTCCCAGCACTACTCCTCTCATCATTGAAGGCATTTAGACTTCAGGAAATCGTGTCCATTCAGTGTTTTCTCTCGGACACTCGGGGAAAGGTGACGACGACTCCAAGCGCGACGAGCCACATCACTCGGAACTGTGGGGGTTCGTTCCCTTTGGGCATCGCGGGAAGTGTAGTTTGGGAGCTCCGTGCCATCACAACTCTTCCCCCGGAGCGTGAGACTGGACATCTTTCGTTCCGCTTTCAGATGGACGCGTGTAATCTAAATGCCCCGTGGATTCGCGGTCACTCGGGCCCGGGCAGGCGGGTCCGGGGAATTCTGGGAAGTGTAGTCCAGACGCTCTGCGGCGTAGCGGGCACTTCCGCTCCGGGACGGTGAGGTTGCTGGTTTTGTCCGTGGTAGTTTGGGGCAGTTCCGCGTCTTGCAGGCCCTGAATGTCCTGGACTTAGGCATTGGATCCGCAACAAACTGGTGATTTAGGAGAAAAGAAGCTTCGACTGAGAGCGGAGGTTCGGAGGGGCGAGGGCGGCGGTTCCCGATCTCGTCGGCGGAGCCTTCTGGCCTTTGGGGCTGTCCTCGCGTCCCCGGGGTGTCGGGACCTGGTCGTGCCGTGTGTCGCCTGGTTTGAGGGTTTCCGGGGCTCTCGGCTCCCTCAATCCGCCTCCCTCCACCCCACGCGCGTGGCCACTTCCTCGCGGTGTAACGTCGGGGTGTTCCTTAATCTTTCGATACCTCCGTTATTGTTCTTTAAAATGGGGGTTTGGGGGGCCATATTCTAGTAGAATTGTTTTGGGAACTGAGGTGATAGAAACGAAAGTCTCAAAATAGCCCCTCACATGGTGAATGGTGGTCTCTTGTTATTGTTAATTTCCCGCGAAGCGGTCAGGTCCCGGGGTGGGGGCGGAGCTCCAGCCGAGTGGTCCCGGCCTTTCTTCGGTCCCCGCAGGACGCTGGATAATCCCGGACCCCTCCCGAGCTCTTCTTAGGAAGGGAAGCGTTGCTTCCATCCTCCACGAAGGGAGGGGAATATTTAACTTTTCTCGTTACGGCGACAGGGTCTGGGTATTTCACGGCATTCTCCTCCCTCAGCCTGACTTCTCAAAAGGACCGCACAGATTGACTCCTTGGTGCTGAAAGCAAAGCTCCGCGTGAGTGTGACTTGGCTTTGTTCTTTTACAGAGGTGCTCTCCTCAACTGATGTGTAGGATGTGTCCTCGGACATGGGTATTGAAAAGAATTAAGCCTTCATTGATAACGTCATTCTAAGGGCTTGATGCAAGTAAATGCGTTCATTTCTTTATCTCCGCTGTGACTCTATGGAGAGGTACTGCTTTTTTTCCATTGTAAAGATACGGCGCATAGAAAGAGGGAGAGCTGGGGTTGGAACCCTGGGCAGTCTGGGTCTGAGCCTAAATCGATAATCTCCTGGATACATTCTCACTGAGGCAGAGGACTAGTGAGAATCAAGTGGGGAAAGAAAATTAGGACTTGATTGAAAGAACCTCGAGAACAAGGCTCACAGGGTTGGACTTTTCTATGAGTGTTTTTTTGAGTCGGAGTCTCACTCTCTCGCCCAGGCTGGAGTGCAGTGGCACAGTCACCGCCTCCGCAGCCTGGACCTGCTTGGCTCAGTCAATCCTTCCGCCTCTGCGCCTTCCAAGTAGTTGGAACCACAGGCATGTGCCACCACGGCCCGACTGATTTTTTGATTTATTGTAGAGACAAGGTCTTGCCAAGTTGCCCGGGCTGGTCTCCAATGCCTGGGTTCAGGCAGTCCTCCCAAAGTACTGGGATTATAGGCACGAGCCATTGTACCTCGCCTTATATGAGTTTTTAAACATTTTGTCGATTATTTTGTTTAACTTATTACAAATACATTTTTAAAATGTTTTTCCCATTATATGTTTAACTATGGAAATTTCCCAACACTGCCAAGAGAGAATAAACTAATGAACTCCCATGTTATATCATGTTCATCCTTATTAATCTCATTGTTATGGTTATTATTCCTATGACTGTTTCCTGGTGTGTGTGTGTGTGTGTGTGTGTGTGTGTGTGTGTGTGTGTGTGTGTG